CAAAGGTGCCAAGAACATGCATTGGAGAAAAGATAGCCTCTTCAACAAATGGTGCTGGGAAAACTGGAAATCCATATGCAACAAAATGAAATTAAACCCCTCTCTCTCACCATGCACAAAACTCCATTCAAGATGGATCAAGGACTTAGAAATAAAACCAGACACTCTGCATCTAATAGAATAAAAAGTAGGCCCTAATCTCCATCATGAGAGATTAGGCCCCAATTTTCTTAATAAGACACCTCTAACACAAGGATTAAAATCAAGAATCAATAAATGGGATGGACTCAAACTAAAAAGTTTCTTCTCAGCAAAAGAAACAATCTGTGATGCGAATAGAAAGCCTACATCTTAGGAGCAAATCTTTACCCCTCACACATCAGATAGAGCATTAATCTCTAGGGTATATAAAGAACTCAAAAAGCTAAGCACGAGAAAAACAAATAACCCAATCAAAACATGGGCCAAGGACCTGAAGAGACACTTCTCAGAAGATGATATACAATCAATCAACAAATATATGAAAAAATATTCATCATCTCTAGCAATTAGAGAAATGCAAATCAAAACTACTCTGAAGATTTCACCTCACTTCAGTCAGAATGGCAGCTATTATGAAGACAAACAGCAATAAGTGTTGGCGAGGATGTGGGGAAAAAGGTATACTTATACACTGCTGGTGGGACTGCAAACTGGTGCAGCCAATATGGAAAACAGTATGGAGACTTCTTGGAAAATTGGGAATGGAACCACCATTTTACCCAGCTATCCCTCTCCTCAGTCTATACCCAAAGGACTTAAAAACAGCATACTACAGGGACACAGCCACATCATTGGTTATAGCAGCACAATTCATAATAGCTAAACTCTGGAACCAACCTAGATGCCCTTCAATAGATGAATGGATTAAAAAATGTGGTATATATACTCAATGGAATATTACTCAGCAATAAAAGAATAAAATCATGGCATCTGTAGGTAAATAGATGGAGTTAGAGAAGATAATGCTAAGTGAAGTCAGCCAATCCCATAAAACCAAATGCCAAATGTTTTCTTTGATATAGGGAGGCTGATTCATAGTGGGATAGGGAGGGGGAGCATGGGAGGAATAGACGAATTCTAGATAGGGCAGAGGGGTGGGAGGGAAAGGGAGGGGGCATGGGGTTATAAATGATGGTGGAATATGATGATCATTATTATCCAAAATACATGTATGAAGACATGAATTGGTGTGAATATCTTTTGTATACAACCAGAGATATGAAAGTTGTTCTGTATATGTATAATAAGAATTGTAATACCTTCTGCTGTCATATATAAATTTAAAAAAAATAAAAAAACTATTGGTACTAGAGATAATCAGATTTTTAAAAGTGAATATTAAGGCTAAATTTAAATTAGATAACAAAATAAAGCCAATACCTAACTTCAGATAATAAATTCTATAATTATGGTGATAAAACCACCTGAACTGCAAAAAAAAAAAAAAAAAAAAAAGTCACATGTATTTTAAGCTTCCCACTGAAAATTACTATTTGCTTATTGCTAACTTCACAAAAATCAGCATATTAGAAAGATAACAGATTTGTCCTATAAAAATTGATAAGCCTATATTATATACATATCCCATCCATTATTTTGGCCAAATTATGGGTTGCACAATTCTGAGGGTATTATTTATTTTGTACTATTTTTAAAGATAACATTCTATCATAACATTCTATCTTGTGCTTAATTGCTATTCTCCATCTTAAATCTCTCCTCACTTTTTTTTTTCCTTGTTTTTGGGTGGGGAACAGGAACCAGGAATTGAACCCAGGAATGCTTAACCACTGAGCCACATTCCCAGCCCTTTTTTTTTTAAAAAAATTTTTATTTGGAGACAGGGCTTCGCTAAGTTGCTCAGGGCCTCAACAAGTTATTCAGGCTGGCTTTCAATCTCCCCACTTTTTGGGACAAGATCTTGCTATGTTGCTTGAACTCTCGATCTTCCTACTTTAGCCTCCCGATCAAGTGGGGTTATAGGCATAGGCCACTACACCCAAATCTTAAATTCCCCTTTTACATTTGATATTTTGTTTCTAAAAGGAAAATAACCAAACAAGTACCAACGGAGTAAAAACAAAAAATAATTTAGTGCCTGGATGAAAACACAAAACTTCAAGATACAAAACTTCAAGTATTTATATACTGTAGGCAAATAAGAGATTTGCAAAACTAAAAATCAGAGCAAAATAGCAAATATGATGAAAATCCGTATAAAGCCAAAAAATATATATAGGGAAGTTTAAGAGGGCAAAAATTATTTTATAAAGTCATGGAAAAAAGCAATTCATACACATCTTCCAAGTTGGGGAGAATCTAGAGATTTGGAAAAAATAAGCACAACTGAGTGAATAACAAAAAAATTCAACACTAATAATATATATAAGGAATATTCTAGGACATGTAATCTGACTACAATCAGATGAGCAAAGAGTAAGGAAAGAAACTATTTTCCTGTATTATTCTCTCTTATTATAAGGAACAGTTATAGAAACTCTTCAAATATGTCTAATATTCCATGTGATATGGATCTAAATAGATTAAAAAATTTCTCTTCATCTGTGACAGCATAAAATCTAGAGAAGATAGTTTACTAAACTTCTATATGAACTAAATTAAATCTAATAGCTGATATTTTACTGATGTTCAGGAGTTTTTTAAAAAATCCAGAAACCTAGAAAAAGAAAGTACTATATTTTAGAAGTCTAATATTAGGTTTGGAACCAGTCCTGCATTATGCCTCAGAATAAACTGAAATGATATATTAATAACTAACCTAGTATGCCATGTAGATAATGTTTGAAACCACCAAGTTTCATGCTAGGTGTCATAAACAGATTCAGTAATGTTTCCACAAACTCAGTAACTATTAAAATAGGCCATGTTCACCAAATGGTGGAATGAATTAAGATTACTAAATCGGAATTAATATTAATTCTAATTCCAACAACAGATGAAAGTGACATCCCAAGGCAATAATTACAGTATGGGGAATTTAGCTGAAATAATGAAGGAGAAGTAGATGGGTATTTTTAAATGTGGTAGCCAAAAATTATAGCAGAGCTGCAAGAAAATATAGGAGAGGATATAATAACCTGCTGGGAAGTTAGCAAAATTATACTTAGTAGAATTACACCTTTTAATTAAAGGATCTAAATTAAGATTAAAGACAAGTAAAAACATTGAAAGACCTGAAAATACAGGACACAAATTAAATAGTAATCTTTTCTGGTTATAGCATGACAAAGAGGGTCACAGGTTCAACTTGCAATGTGAAAATGACAATCAGAAGAAGAATCAGCAATGTTGTTATAAAATGTAAATGTTAGAATTATAAGGGAATCCTTTTGTACCTCTGGTAGTTTATGAATTTCTCTAGGGTAGGGGATATATCTTGTTCACACTTGAACTTATAAGCATTCAGATAAGGTTCTTCATGTAATGGGTGTTCCTTAATTAATTATAACAATTATGCTCTCATATTTTTGGTAGGTTTGCTATATTAAATTCTATTTTAGATCTATTTTTTTATTTATGGTCAAAATCCATACAACCATAAGCCTAATTATCATGGGTCCTAATATACACACTGAATATCCATTCTGGTCCTCAATGTTTTACCAGCTTTAGTATATATATCCTAAAATTTAAGTAAACAATTGTAAATATGTAATTTAAGTATAAAATTTAAGTATATAATGATACTCCATATTATCAACATGACTTAATTTACCTTTTATTTATAACAAATCACTTATTTTGTATCATATACCAATTTGAAACTACCCAAAACTAATATTGCTTCAATGTCCTCCTGAGTTTTATATATACATACATACATACATACATACATATATATACATATATATATATTTTTTAAAGAAATGGAACCACTTATTAGTTAATGAGAGAACTGAAGATCAATTTCACCATAATTTTAATTTCTTACTATATAAAAATAACCTGACAGATTTATGAACTAGGATAAATTTTAAGCCAATAATCATATTTGTGTCATGGTACCTAATGACAAATTAATCTTAAAGCAGAAATTCAGTTATTTTATAAAAGCAACAATTCCACTTCTGAAATCAAAGAGAAATTACGAGGTTTTAGGCTTTCAGCCCATTACTTATTTTTTTTTATAGAAATATACATTTTTAAAGCTAAAGAAAACTGTGGGGTTCTAGTCCAGTATTTCTCAACCCCTTTTCATTACTGGACTCTCAATGAGCCATTTTAGGCTTAAAAAAATTGCTTTTTCCTTCCATGGAAATTTGATAGCAAATATATACTCAATGTCTATTTATGACTATGCATAATCTATTCTACAAAACAGGAAAAAAAATTTTTTTCACCTCCCCAAAAGCCAATTTTTGTCACCATTAAGACCATCGTTTCACATTCCAAGTAAAGAAACTGAAGTTCAGAAAATATTACACATTTTCCCAAAGGAATGTCTTTTTAGTTAAAGGCACAAAACTCCAAAAAATGATTGGCAAATTATGTAAAAGACAAGCTACCTAATACCAATTACACATCCAAGATAACTACTATTCTCTTTTGGTTATTCCTATTTTCACAAGTATATAGGTAAGACAGGATAACCTTGAAATCAGTCATTTCTTATGTTCTTTTGAGTAACTGGTTTATTGACTCTGAAATGAATGGCTAAAATAGATTCTTATATTAAAATGAATAATGCTGTTCCTTACACCCCCACACACTCTCTTGTCTTTAAAACAATTAGTTCAAAATCTTGAATTTTGAATTTTATAAAATAATGCAGAAACACATTTCTGAAATTAAAATTAAAGTTCTTAATAGAATGATTTACTGTGTTATTTGTAAACTATTTTGAAATGAAAAGTACCTATATATTTTCTAATTTCAAAATATACTTTTTAACTTAGATGTTATTTTAGACCAGTAATTAGTTTTATTAATATTCTTACCAGTTCTGTCATAAGACTCATGACATGTACGTGCAATTTCTGCCCCTAACTCTAAATAATGACCAGCTTTATCCTTTCTGGAACCATCTGCTCCTAGTGCAAACATTCCCCCAGCAAAGCAAGCCAAATGTCCCATCTTCTTTTCCAAGTGTCCATTCTTCCATTCTCCAATAAAGATAAGACCACCCCGGGACTTCTTAATAAGGTGTTTTTCTATAGCCTGTAAAAAAGAACAGATATTCAAAATTCTAAAAGCAATCTATTAGCTCAAATATATATTTCTGGCTATCATAAAATGATTGCAATATAATAATCTATAAAGCAGTAGTTTTCCCACATTGAAAGACATAATTTATAATAAGTTTTGGAAGGAGTAACCAAATTGAACACAACTTGTAACAAATATTCTATAATCACTTCTGTAAGACAGAATGGGAATCCTTATTAGAATGATATACTTCATGTATGTATAATATGTAGAATACCCTACTGTTATGTATAACTAAAAAGAATTAAAAACAAACAAAAAGAGTGGGAGAGGTGAGAGTTGGCTGAAAAGAGTTCCTTTATATATAATATTAACCATTACACCTTTGTCTTTGGGGCTAAATGAAATTAATAATAATCAGTCAACTGATTGTAATGAGAACCTACACCAAAAAGGTTGTATCATTTCTATTTCATATAACAAAATCTGAACAGGAAGAATATCCAAGTTAATAAAAAAATGATTTTAATAATTAGTTAAAATGGTTCTTCATTTTCCATGCATCCATGTCACTTGGAAAAATACTTTAAAAAGGCACCATTAGGTAAGCCACCTAACACATTACAAGGCTTTCAAAACTAGTTGAAAGTTAAATATTTATCCCTTAGTTCTTTAGTCCTTTACTCTCAAACTTAGGCATCTGTCTGGGATATTGCATCATGGATGAGAGGACACATAATAAAGAGTCCATCCTTATGGAATATCAGTTTTTCTAAAAAGACATGGGGATAGTGAGGGAAATATTTTACACCAAACTGAAATATACAAAGAATTAGAGTATAAAAATCACATTTCATTTTAAAGTGAAGTTTTTAAGCACTTTGTTCCTTTGGATTATGATCTCAAACTTTGCAAGGAAGGCTACGGATTAATTTTCTGTTGTTGTTTAGAGGCATTTCTATGGAAAAGTATAAGAAATTGCATTAATTCAGTTCTATTTGGTAGAAATAATTGTATATGATTAATGACTCCACTTTCTGATGAAACAAAGAAATATTTCTTTGAAGAATTCTCATTTTAATTGTGTACTGTTCTGTGACCATCTGAATAACAAATTAACTTGGTAAAAATGTATTCTGTATTCTTGGCAATAATATATAAGTTTTATAAAATTGCAGGGGAGGGCTATGCCTTTTTCATCATCTTATACTCCAGAAGGTCTATAATGTACTCTGCACTCACTAAAAGTTTAGTAAGTAAATAATTTAATAAATGAATGATGCTCTTAATAGTTGTATTTGACCTGTTAGGGGAGTGAGACAGAGCTGATAACCAAAATGCTAAAGAACTAAGAGTAGATTATAAGCTTTGTTGTTGTGGTTGTTGTTTTCTTTTGATCATAATACTCTGAAGCACATATAAAAAAAGATTAATCTTTTAAATGAAGGGGCAATGTTTTTCATCCTTGTGGACCTCATGATACTAGCAGGTTTTCTGCATTAAAGTTACCCCACCAATGCCTAAATAATAATCCATGTTTTGGTTTATACATTTTTACATAGTGTTTTTTGACAGTTTGTCATTTCTGTTGACTACAATATAAATTTTATCATGTTATAATTAAAAGATATCCAAATATAACTTCATGAATTTACTAGGACTACAGAAATAGGTTAGGTTAGTATAAGCCTTCACCAGTAATTTACTTTTGGATTTGTAAAATTGTTTGTATGGCCTTCTTCTAAAAATATGACAAATACCTAAGAATGCAACTTAAATAAAATACCAAACTGCTGAATGGCAGTTAGTAACATTATTGCTCTTCAATTAAAATGTGTTAAATTGTCACTAATATTGGCATTATGTCATGTTCCAAAGGACTTTCGAAAAATCACATTTTGTTCACCTTTAAAAATTAATGACAAAACATAAATTTGACCAAAGTATAAAACCTGTGATTAAGAAAACTAAGATACAGGAACCAAGGATATGGGAATTTGTAAGGGTAGAGGAGGTTAAGATACAGATGGAAAGAATTTAAATAGAATAGCTCAGAAAGACAAATTTTAGAAATGATTTATTTCAAATTTGAATAAATTTAAAAATAAGTGCCATACCTATCTCTTGCATGCATTTAATATGTTTTTTATTTTACAATTTATATATACTCTGTCTCCTTACAGAATGAACAGTTATTAAAGATAAACTGACACTGCAGAAATTACAAACTTGAGATCATGGCTCAAAAAAAAAAGGTGACCAATTTTTATTAAGCAATTACTCAGTAGGAGTCCATTCCAGACTTAAGAACTAATAAAAATAGGACATAGAAAACAAATACAGAAACATTTATAAAACACGTAATGTAGATGAAAATAATTTTAAATTATAAGATTAACTTTCAAAATGATTATTACTTCTTTCAAAGTATATACAATTAAAAAGGTAATAACAAATATAAAATAATTTTGTGGTCATTTAGGCAAGAATTAAGAAAAAAAGAAGAAAATGGTTTTAGATTATTACAAGAAACAGCCAATTATGAAGAAAAGATGATATTACATGGTAAATGACATGTCATATTTTAAAAATAAAAATATTAAATTCAGTCATACATTTATCATATATTGGACATTTTTCATGTTTTGGTTAGTATGCTTCATGCTGAGATAATGACAAACAAATTAGTCTCTGCCTTCAAAGGAACCTGAAGTTTAGTGGAAATGAAAAAGGGCTATTTCTAGTACTATGATTCTAAGAATAGTCTTAAATAATTCTTCCTAGTTAATGATTATTCTTGAATCATAAAAATATCCAGGTTTTTTTAATCGTGCCAACAAAGAGCGAAACTCTCCAACTTTTCAAAAATTTAAGACTTCATAAAATTTTTTAGAAGTAACATATAAAAATTTAAATTCTTGATTACACCTTAATTTGTCTCACTTTTTTAGTTAATCCTTCCACAACCATTCATTGAGTGACTTTAATGGGTAAAACACTATGTTACACACATTAAGGTCAACTCCTGTGTATTTCAAACAGCAAATGAAGGGTATTAGGTCCTTAAAAATAAGGATATAAAATGAGTAATAAGAGCCTTGCTTTAAGTTAAAAAACTACAATGCTGAAAACTGATCACTGATTATCTCAGAATGGTGTGATTATACAAAATACACAAAAATTAATTAAAATCATTAGAAAGATGTGGGTTTTTAATAGATCTGAAAGCCAGGAACTTATTAAATGGTTAACACATTTTTTAATTTCACAATTTTTGCCTGAAAATTTCCCATATAAATGCTCCCTAGAATGACTTGTTCTAAATTTCAACACTAGATCACAACACTGAAGTATGAAATTATACAAGTATGAAACAAGTGACGAAGAGAACGAGCTCTGCAACCAGACTGTTCAGTTCCAGGCTCCATAACTTTCCAGTATATGACCTTCAACATTAACCTCATGGTGCCTTAAGGTCCTCATATACAAAGTGAGGGCTAGAACAGTGCTTGGCACATGGAAAGTACTTATATAAGTGTGATATTATAATTATTTACTCACAAGGATCTCAGCATATAGGTTTAAACAGTCATTTAAAGAAGAAATGTTTAAGCTGGGTGCAGTGGCGCACACCTGTAATCCCAGTGGTTTGGGAGGCTGAGGCAGGAGGACCTGGAGCTCAAAGCCAGCTTCCACAAAAGGGAAGCACTAAGCAACTCAATGAGACCCTGTCTCACAGGGCTGGGGATGTGGCTCAGTGGCCAGGTGCCCTTGAGTTTACTCCACCTGCCCCCCAAGAAGAAATGTTTATGGAAATAAATGTGAAGTCATAAGTTTTTCCAGTCTTATAGACGTTAACTAAACTAAAATAAATTCTCCTAAAGTATCTATACTAACCTTCAATTTCTCTAAAATGTTACAGATAAAAGAACACTTGGTATAAGGATTTGCTATTAAAACACTAAAAAGCTCTATAGTAAATGCACATAATAAAATGTTTACATATTCATTTCCTGAATGCATAACAAAATGGTTATTCCTGAAAGCATATAATAAAATATTATTTTTTGAGTCACTATCAAATAATTGTACATTCAATATGTTAAGCAGGAAAATATTCTGAAAATAATCACCTCAATAGCATCATCATACATCTTCCTTGCTTCATGATCTGTTTTATCTGACATCAACCAAGCTTTCAGTAAGTATTCATAGAAACTGTCGCCCAGACCACCAACTGATGTATGATCTGTAAAAAAAAAAAAAAAAAAAAAAAAAAAACAGAAAGAAAGAAAAGAGAAGGATACAGATGAAGTAAAGAGAAAAACGGAAGGCAAAGTACTATTTTTCAATCATAATGACTGTTTTACAGATCAATTTAAACATTATATTTCCAACAAACTTCAAATTTTGTCCAGTAAGAATATAGCATAAGGGGCTGGGATTGTGGCTTAGCGGTAGAGCGCTGGTCTAGAACATGTGAGGCCCTCGGTTCGATCCTGAACACCACATATAATAAATAAATAAAATAAAGGTATTGTGCCCAACTACTTAAAAAAAAAGAATATAGCATAATAACTCCTCTCTATACATGTATCCAGGTTTCTAGAAAATCATTTCCTCTGGATCTGATATTTTACATATTTAGGAGCCTTTGTCTTAAATTACTTTTATACCTTGTCATACATCCAAACTTTCACATAAATTCAAATAATTACCTTATGCATATTAATAGCTTTAAATATAAAGCTACATTAAATATGAGAGATATACTTAAATTTGATGTTAACCCAAAAGAGGTCACTCTTTAATATTTTTTTATATGATGATTAATGGTGACTCCTGGGCCAGACAGTAAATTAAAATATGTCAATTTTTTAAAAACTCAAAAGTTCCTTTATAATACAACTCTGCAAAATTAGCTGTGAAATTGCCATCCTTAATTACTGTCTATACAACTATTTATATATATATATATATATATATATATATATATATATATATATATGTTTATCCTAGGTATAATTCTTATTTTATGGCCATCTATTCTTTTAATCCTATCTCATTTAGTACAATAGTTCCTGAGGCAACCACACTCTTTCATCCCTGACTTTCACCAAACTCTGTCCTACATTCTTAAACTTTGTCTCAAAACTCAACACCCTCCTTGCATTTTCATGCAAGAAAAATATCACATTTTTTATAACCCTTCAATTTGCTCATATTCACTTGTTTTTTTAAATTATAAGTAAAGGATAGACCATTTAGTGGTTTATGAGAAAAAATGACTCCCATTTGGGGAAAAATGTATGTTAATATGTATCTTTGTCTTACAAATTAAATTTGTGGTTAATTAATAATTTCAGAGTAAAACTACAAGTGAACCAGGTGAAAATATAAGAACACATCTGGTCTTCCTAAGTAAATGATTTAAGCAAATTCAAAATGAGAAAGCCCATAAAGGACAAGCTTATATCTTCATATGATACAAGCAAAATACAAGTAAGTCCACAAGATTAAAGAATTAAATGGAAGAAAATATTTGCAATGTATGTAACAGGAAAAAGGTGATTCCCCTAAACAAAGACCTCTGACAAAAAATGAGGCAAACTGAAACAGGATACACACAATAAACAAAAAATAATCCATACAAGAAATCACATACCCTATACTCCCAGCAACTCAGGAAGCTGAGGGAGGGAGATCACCTCAGAGACCAGTCTCAGAAATTTAGCAAAACTCTGTCTCAAAAAAAAAAAAAAATAAATAAATAAAATAAATAAATAAATAAAAAAGGACAAGGGATGTAGATCAGTGGTAAAGTATACTGGGCTCAATTCCCAGTACCAAAAAAGAACGGGGGGCGGAGGGAAAGAATTAAAAAAAAAAAAAAAAAAAAAATTTATAAAAATGAGATTCCACTGTTGTCAGAACCACAAACATTTTCAAAGATTAATAAAACTCAATGTTGATAAGAACTATGGTTCACAGCTGTTGGGACTGAAGGGCAATTTTGTGGTAGCTATCAAAATGTAACCCAGAGGGTTGGGATTGTAGCTCAGTAGCAGAGCTCTTGCCTAGCACATGAGGCAGTGGGTTCGATCCTCAGCACCAAATAAAAATAAATAAATAAAATGTAATCTAGAAATTCTAGTTCTGGAATTATCCTTTAACAATATTCACAGAAAAATATAAATACAGATGTGAAAAATAAAACAGCTGATCACAGAATTACTTCCATTAGTTAAAAACTAAACCTAAAGTTGCTAAATAAATTGCAATATGAACATACTATAGAGACCTATACAATCATTAAAAAGAATCAGGCTCATCTGTATTCTAACTCTGTATGATATCCATATGCTATTGAGTGGTGGGGAGGGAGCAGAATAATACAGTTTGACAACACTAAATATTTGATTTATATGCTTAAAGAATGTTAGCATAGATATAGAAAGGATCTGAAAAAACAGCTATAAAAATAATTATTTTTAAAGAAGGAATCCTTAAATTTTAACTTTATATACTTAATTATATTAACTGAATACATGTAACTATATATAACTAAAAACCATATCTTGTAGAAAATAATAAATGGGTAAATTACCTTCAGCAATACATCTGCTAATAACCCAGTAATTCACATATACCTTAAAAAGCTTGCAGCTCAAATGCTTCTTATTTTTTTTGTGAAATCTTAAGTGTACATGCTAATGAATTTTTATATGTTTACACCAGTAAAACCACTACCAAGTAAAAACATATAGAAAATTTCCAGTTTCCTCCTTCACATGGCCTTCAGTCAATGACTCAATCCCAAAAGATAGTCATTTTTCTGATCTCTAGCACCACAGATTTGTTTTATAAGGTTCTGATCTTCATATAAAGTGGTTGTTTACTTTTCACTAAGATTTGTTAACTTAATGCTGTTCTACTTTGTTTTTACCTAAGGTAGGCTTCTGAGTCTCTAATTCAAAGTGATTTGGTATATTGGAAGACACCTGGAGAAGACAGGGCTACAATGTGATCCCTTTCTTTAAATCTTGTACCATATCAGAAATCAACAACTAAATTTCTAATAGCTTTAAATACCCAACACATTTACAGTTAATAATTTTATAATTATGGCCATATATGATAATGGGTTTACAGGTTAAGTTATATTTAAGATACTAAATTCTAAGATACAAAACATTTTATAATAATAAAAATCATAAAAGTTAACACAAACTGGGAAGCAGTGAAACCTTAAAAAGGTAGGGCCTGGGGAGGTGTTAAGTCAATGGTTGGCATAATCTTGAAGGGCACTGTGGGACCCTGATCTCTTCCCTCTTTTTTTGCTCACATGAAGTAAACATGTGCTCTCACCACGATGTTCTGGGCCACACTGGCCCAAAGCAATGAGTCCAATGAGTCATGAACTAAGATCTACAAAACTGATACAAAATAAACCTTTCCTCTTTATAAGCTAATTCTCTTAGGTATTTTATTATAGTAACAGAAAGCTGAGGGTCCTAAGAGAAAAAATAAATCTTTAAAGCAAAACCAGTAAAATTACATTAAAAAATTGACAAATAATATTTTAATATACCTATTTTTAACTGAAAAATCAATCAGAAAAAAGTAGAAAACAAGTCTGAAAAGTCTTATTTAACAGGCTAAGAAGTCTGAATTGCCTTAAAGACAAGTAGATTCTCTGCTAAACCATAACCTACTTGTGTCTTCATATACCCCACAGCACCTAGGTCAAACTGTCAGGTTTCTAACACAGGTTCTACCAGATAGAATGCGGGCAAGACAAGAAATCAAGAAGAGAAAATTTTAATACTAAACTCAGTTCTGTATCTATGGAGTCTAGGGTACCTGTAATATACTCAGGCACAAATATTCTGTACAACATGTGGCGATACAAGTTTAAAGCCCAAAGAAGAGCAATAATGAAATACTGGATTAAACCGGGGCCGGGGGTGGGGGGGTCCTATAAAAGGCCAGCTAACATATAGCCTCTGTTGCATATTCCTGTTTTGTGTTGTTGTTGTTGCTGATCATGATGTGTGCTGATGATATGTGCTTAAATAATCCTTTAAAAATGTAAAATACAAAACAGGTCACAGGCCTGCCTCAGTTTGCTCAATTTGGATCTCATCAATATTATAGGACATAGTTCATAATAGAAGAAGAAAGTGATAAGGCTTGAGAAGCAAAATGGAAAGGGTAAGAAGTAGGTATTCCTAGGAATATAAATATTTAAAAAGCTGCATGAAGAAGAATATGAAATAAATTCCCAGTCCTTGAAAGTGAACTGGACTTGTGATATGGTTTGGATCTGGAATGTCCCTCAATAGCTCATGTGTTGAAGTCATGGTCTCCAATGCAGCAAGGTTCAGATATAGAGATTTTAAGCAATGATTGGACCATGAGGGCTCTGACCTAGGTGTATGGACTACTGGGAGGTAGGACCTAGTTAGAGGAAGTAGGACACTGTGGGCATTCCCTGGAAGAGTTATCTTTTCCCCAAACCTCTTCTTTTTCTGCTTCTGTCTCACACTACGCTTCCTAACTGTCATAAGCAAAGAAGCTTTCCTCCACCATGCACTTCCACGAGGATGTTCTGCCTCACTATAGACCCAGAAAAATGGAGTCAGCCAACCACGGACTGAGACCACTGAAACCTTAACCAAAATAAATCTTTCTTCTGTTAAGTTTTGTTATTGTCAATTATTTGGTCACAGCAATAAAAGAAGATTAACAAACAACCTGTATCTTGCTTTGTTTAAATGAATGTAGTAAAATCTAACAGTGTGCCAGTTTCCAGCTTAACCCTCAAGAAGCCTTGCATGTTCCAACTTCTTTTTGGGGATTCTGCTACTGCTAAGTAAAGAAGTAAGCTGTGACACATTCTCATAGATGATGAAGATCACATGAAGCACAGCTGAGTCTTCCCAAATGGGGCCATGCTAGTTTGTGTTGTGTAGCAATAGCTAACTAATATACTGTCTTTTTTTGACTAGTTTACAGGACAGTCAACAGAACACAGAAGAAATTACTTTTAAAGGGGTTGTGGGAAGCAGAACCCAAAAGGCAATAATTCATTGAGAAGTGAACAGAAATAGGAAAAAAACATGAACTATATCAATAAATATTAAACTAATACTGCAAAAGACTTTATCACAAGAAGAGATGTAGAACATTCATCAGAAGTGGGCAATAGCATCTAAAAAGACAGCAAGTGAGAAAAGAATCATAAAA